ACAAGTGCCTTACTAGTAGTAACAAGAAGCTACTAGAAACAAGTGCATCGCTTCTAGTAACAAGCGCCTTACTAGTAGTAACAAGAAGCTATTAGTTTAATAAATAACTGGGGCGACATTCTTATGGCCTTATGGGATCCTTGGGGGCAGAATGCGGGGTTCCTTCTGTAAGAATGGACCAAGCGTCGGCTTCAGCCTTTTGGACACTGATCCCATAGAGCACCCTGTGCATCTCTGTGCCTTGTCTTCACATCTCAGCTGTTGTCTGGAGCACCTGGATAATTGTATTCAAACTGTCACCTGGCTCGACCAACAGGGAAAAAAGGGTGTTGTCCTCAAAGTAAGCCTACCAAAACAAAAAACAACACTATTTGTTTTTTTGTTTTTTTTCCGTGTCCTTCTTGACTTTGATGCACCCTGATGCAAACCGCCCCCCCCCGCCAGCCTCCATGGGCCCCCTCAAAGATCCTCCACATCCGCAATCTCCGATTCCGACGCGTCCTCTTCGGTCTTCTGCGCCACTTTCCAGGCAGGATCCTTTCGAATCATCTTGGACCTCGCGACGCGCCGTGGTGAAAATCGCTCTTGGACCCGCAAGACATGACAAGGCTATGCGAAACGTTTGCCATTCACTTTTGCAAGCACGTGTTGTAGTCAATGAGTTTCAGGCTACAAGCTACCAAAAACACAGCACCACACTTATTGATTCAACATGATTCAACCATTCAGGGAGTGCAACCAATGGCCTGTCCATTCCTTATCCCTAACCTTGAGTGGCACTCGGGAACTCTCTTGATCACCCTCGATCTTTCCGTTTCTGAACTGCTTCAACAGCTGAGAGCCTTCGACTGTTTTTGGATCATCGTCATCTCTGAAACTCCTGATTTTCGGGGCCTGGTCGCTTTCTGAGGCCCCTACAAGTCGATCTGCTCCTTGGAGCCTCAGGATGTGGCTGTCGGGCGAATCGGAGAAGTGCAACAATTTGAGCGACCGGACGGACAAAGGATGCACCTGTCCATACAAGGATCCCTTCGTCAATGCGTAGTTCGACCGCAATTTTGACATATAATATATATATATATAGAACTCCTTCGCCCTTTGCCCAATGAACTTGGTGAAGAAGTGGCTCATTTGAATCGTGACTGCATGGCAAAAAACATCACGACGAGTAATTACAACAAACTGCATCCCGTACCCTGATTGATTGCATGCATGGTTGCACAACTCTATTGAGACAACCTCCCCGACACTTCTTTAGAAACTACTTTGGATGTCACGTGCTTCCAACAAATGTCTGTGCAGCAGACTGCTCCAACGGCTTGCTCATGTTTGCTGGCGTCCTTGATTCAAAGAATCCCCTCCCTTTCCTGAGATCTGTCTGACTGTTTCGACGCATGCTTCATTAACAAACACACCAAAAAGGGACCAAGTCGGACCAAGGGGGTTGGACTTACCTTCTGGGAAACTCGGAAAACCATCTATTACTATAAACAATTTGATTTATCTGGCGGACTCGCCGGGGGAATTTCAGGGATTGGATCCATTCCACGGAGACTCCTTCACCCGCTCGCTTGAGGTCAGCACGGGCCATTGACACCTTGGGGCGCACCTGGTAGGCGCCTCACGCTCGATGCACTGTATGCAAGGTCAATGTCTTGCAACTGAAGAAACGTGGGAAATCTGGGTGATTCGGACAGCCCAAGCTGTGCTGGCAATAACCACTATGGACCATAATGGAGGTAAAGAATGCAAATACTACTTCCGGAGGTCCTGTTGTGGTGTTTGCAACCAGCAGGTGAAACACTGAACTTGATGAACTTGGAATCCTCGTGCGGGTACGTAGGTTGAATAACTACCTACTAACAACATCTATAGTGGTCCCCAAATAGATAGACAGTTGCCAATACGTTCTTTGATATTCTTTGCGGGGATCTAATTTTCTACCGATTTGGGGTCTATACAATAACCCTATTATCACAACATTGTCACTTGGCGTAAGCTTGTTGCCACCAAGGTGCCGCTTGACTTCTCCGACCAGCGACGCAACTTGCCCGCATCATCGCGGTTCCTTCAGTGTGGATGGGTATTCGGAGTGACCGGCAGGCTCGTTGTAAAGCTTTGGGAAAATCATGGGGAATCGTCTTACCATCATGGGATAGCAAATTCATTTTGGCAACGTGTGCATACCTCTCAGCACCAAGCCATACTGCTCAGACTGAGTCTGTATGGCATCATTCAGGACACGGCACATTGGTCTGTGGCGTTGCTTTGACAGCGTCCAGTTCAGTGCTGTTCTGGAGCAATCGCAAAGGTAACTCCAAATGTTCGGAGACGAAAGAGGTAACATAATGTTATTTATTATAGCAGTGTATAGCAAACCTGAACAAACCTGCCTCCCAACAAATGCCTCGGGAAAAGCTCTTTTTCAAGTCTATCTCAGGCCACGGCCCAAGTGGAATGCTGTCGTTCTTCACCGACATGTCCTTTGGAAAAGGCCCTACGCCGCCAGGGAAAGCATGACAAAATAAGTACTCTCTGACACTAAGAATAAACACAAATGGAAACAAATAGCTTTGGGGTGCATGACTCACCATGGCTCATCTGACCAATCCAACTCACACCAACCATACCACCTCCATCCATCTCCCCAGTCATCGCTATATTAGATTAGGGAACCATGGGCCATGACCATGGCTATAACCCTTCAGCCAGTTGGAGCTGGTGCCTCCCTACAGGGCTCTTTGGATCTTTGGAAAAGCTGGATTTCACCTACGATCAGCCCTTTCTGATCAAATCCAAAACGCTCGTGGTGCCTTTCTCCGTTGATTTCTCTTGAGTTGATTATTTGCCTTCGTTTCGATGTGGATTCTTTATCTTGAAATCAACCTCTTGGGCTCAATCTTCTACATGGACTACGTGGACCATGATAACCTGCGGGCCGCCCCATGTCCTCTGACTTTGGACTGGGAGGTTCCTGCAACTTGGGATTGGAGCAAATGGTGTCCACTGTAAATGCGTCAAGTTGCAAAAAGTGTTTAATACTCAGAACCGTTTTGAAACAAACTGTGGATGAAAGTGGGTGTTTAAGGGGCATGCATTTGGCACTTCACACATGGGTGCCAGTTGATGAACGAACCGCCCCACCTGCGGAGGATCGCGACCTGAGCAAATGAGCGGAGAACGCCGCTGGACGGAGGGACGACATCCGGGACGGCCACTGGGTCACTCTGGTGGGCCTCCAATGACCCCAGCACCATGGGGCACCAATGTGAATCAAATCTGAAGGTAAACTACGTCTAGTCTTGTGTCAAGTGTTTCTCAAATCTGAGGCCGCGACTGGGCATGGCTATCTGAACCAAGGCCTCAGAGACAGTGGGACAATCCTTACTTCGGTGTTCTAGAAATGGCTTTCCAATACATCTTGAGAATCTTGGGGTCGCTATATATTATATATATATCACACTCTATCCATCCATCTATCTATCTATTGATCAATATTGATCTAATCTAAGCTAATCTAATCTAATTATCTAATCTAGTCTAGTCTAGTCTACTCATCTCTACTCTACTCTACCTATCTACCTACCTACCTACCTGTCTGTCGATCTATGTCGATCTATCGATCTACATATCACATCAAATGCATCTTCCGGAATGTCCACCAAATGGCCGTGCCTGTCCCAAACGCCGTACTGGATCTGCTCGGGAGCGTGGTAGCAGCTGTTCAGCGGAAATCTTGCACAAGGCCTGCAAAGGTGTGAGGATCGCGTGAATCATCAATGCAAAAAAAGCAGAAGAGAGTGACAGCCTTTGGCATTTCTTAGTCACAGCTTTTGCTTCTGCAAATGCATGTAGTGTAATATATTGTGGGATTTTCTATGCACATACTGATGTATACAAAAGGAGTGACCGCACATGTACCACAACTTACCCCTTCGGAGACTTTCACATTGGGATCATTCGTCCGATCCAAATTCAGAACTGTGCATTCATGTACATTCAGTGCATGCAACCCAACACCGCTCTGCAATCACAAACAGCATCTTGAGACATAAGAGGCATTCCAAGGTGACCTTGTCACAAAGACGAGACATGGCCCTTGTGGATCTCAATCCTTCAAGCTATCCCTGGATCATTCGTGGATGGTTTCATTGATATCTTCAAACTGCTCTAAAAACATCCACTTGGCCCAAGCGCCATTCCCTGAAGACTTGGATAGAACATCTGAATTTTGTAGATAGTTTCTTGAAACAAGTCGTGGTTACGTAGGAGAAGCAACTGATGTCACATGTTATTCTATGTTATTCTCATGGTTGACCACTCCTTAGTTGGGGACCTCCTCGTTTTGAGACATACCGACACAACTACCGACGCATGATCGATGCAGTGCGCGCACCTCGAAGTCAGCCTTTGGAGATACTTGGCTCAGTTCTGGTAGGACTGCAAGTAGCTCCTTCTTCCAGTGCTCTGCTTCGTTGTAACCCTTCTAGAACGCTGTGCTCAAAGACAGTTAGATATAGTTAGTCTAGGGAGTGCACTTGTCAAACACTACGTCACCACGCAGGAATTTGATCTGATTCTGCACTCTTGGGTGGCAAAGTAGAAGCGGAATCGAAGGCTCTCAGCACGCCATGCCTTTTTGGGTGTCAGATTTAAAGAAGAAAGCGCGCCAAGACATGGCAACTGTGCCCAAGCCGTCTATGCCCAAGCCGTCCGTCCGTCCGTCTGTCCTGCCAAGCCATCGCATGGCCTGATGTTCTGTCGGCTTGTCGAAATGAACTGTGAATGCTAAACTGCGTCTTCTGCACCATGCTGGTGCGAAAGCCAAGAATTCCGAAAGCCTGCAGGATCCATAGGAAAGCCAAGATCTGGACTTAACTAGTCACTATACACTTTTCCCATGCACCCAAGAAGAAATGAAGCTGACCCAGGCTAATGACAATGCCCCTCAGACATACAAAAAACTGACGCGTCAACTTTCTTGTCGTCCATGTCTAGTTATCATGAAGCCATGGATGGCACCAGTGTCCCAAAGTTCCACGTTTGCTGGTGTTCACTTTCATTCGTCGACCCATGGGCCGCTCCCAGGCCGTCTCCGGCCTTCAGGACTGCGCGCGAGCTTCAGCGCCTCAGCTCCCTCACAGGCAGACAGTGCAGAGGCCTGGTGCGAGACGCCGCAGCGGGACACGTCACGACCACCGGAGATCGGTAGGACGAAGCAGTTGGAAGACCCCGAGTTTATTTAAAAAATTTGGCCATAGCAGATCATGTTGAGTGGGGGGTCGAACAGTATCATGTTGTATCTATATTTAATTATGTGACAATCATGTTTCCACCGAACACTCGTTGCTGCTTTGCGGTGGATTTAGCTGTCCACAAGCCCAAACCACCGGTAGAGCCCGGCATAGCCCGGCCTACTAGGATGACGTCTGCCCTCCAGTCAACTGACACGCACCCATTCCTGAAATCCTTGACTATATATATATATATTGTATGTGTAAGGAACTCTCCTTTCGCACAGGTTCAGTCAACATGCCGCATCTGGGCTTTGAGTGGGCAGGTGTAGTAAGTGTAGTATGGGCAGTTCGCTACGGCTGGGCAGCCATCGTCTTTTCCGGAATTGGACGAACACTCTTCTCCAACCGCACCTGGGGTTTGTTGGTTGGGCGTCTCGTTCCGTGGTATTTCACGCTGATGATGTGGGCTAAGAAACTGCCACGCTGTTTCACCCGTTTTGCGACCTCCGCCAGGTTGCTGGACATGTGGCCCTGGCAGGTCGTGAGGGAAGAACCGATGATGACATGTGCCATCGAGTGACCGGAACCAACAAGAATCCTGCCACCATCATCACGCAAAGCAAAGGACGGGGTAGGGGAAGGTATATATCATTTTCAGCCAGTTAAACTGGATCCTCGGCAACTCCAAAGAAGGCATCTGGGGTCGTTGCTCACCATGTTTTGAGGATCCAGATGTGTTGAGTCTACTGGCACACAGAAGTGCGCCTGGAAAAAGAACGAAGCGATCATGGTCTGCACATCCAAGTTGTTGCAATTATATGTCTGACTGGCGACTAGGATCGGCTCCAGGTGCACTTAGGACAAGTTCAGTTGTTGGGGCAACCCCTTCACAATGTCAAACACATTATGCACCAAATGCAGTGCATGGACTCCGTCATTGCATCTTCCCTTCATTGAGTTTGGTTTGATACATCCAACCTGGCGTGGAGGACAAAACAACTCATTCTTGCTGGATTCTCGGGTAGCTGGGGTCAGTGTGAAAGCCAGGATCACCATTTTCTGTGAGAAACACTCAAGCAGAATGACGCCTGTGCGCTCTTCACACAGGTCGCATAGTGAAGTGGTCCCTTGACAACATTGAGCACTTTGGCTCCGGCCGTTTGCAAAAGGATGGGCTGAATAAAACGATGCAGGAGACCGGACTCATAACTGTTCCGAGATTAATTTTCTAGTTTCTACGTCTGTCTGTATGTCTGTCTGTATGTCATGTATGTAATGTAATGTAATGTAATGTAATATAGTGTGATGGTATGCATGTGTGTACGTACCTACGTACGTACGTATGTACGTACGTACGTATGTACGTACGTACGTATGTATATGTATACATGTGTATATATATAGGTATATGTGTGTATGTGTGTGTATGTATGTATGTATGTATGTATGTATGTATGTACATGTATACACATACATTCATATCGGTTTCTTGAACATGTTTGTCTTTTTGATGCTCCACTTGAAGAGATGCAAACGGTAATTAGCCTAGGGCAAGCAACAAGCATCTTCGATGCACAAAATTCCTACGATAATTCCATGGGCGCACCAGCCATGCATGTCCGTGCACATCATGGCAGGCACTCTACCTCTAACCAACCCACACTGGAGCGAGACTGCCCAAACGAAAATTGTTCGGACACAGTCAAATCAATAAATCACTCAAGAAACTTATTTGACCGGCACATGGGCTATATAGACTACAACACCAACCGCAAGCCGGCAAAGGATTCAAGGGCTCCCTGCTTCAGTTGAGTGTGAGAAACCCAGGAACTCCTTCAGCTCAACCTGCAGGAGCAGTACAATCAGTGCAACCCACGCTTGTGCCAGGAGGCATTGTCTTTGTTCTCTTGGACAAAGGGCAATCAATAAACTACTATAGACGGGTGCTGTGGGTGGTTCTCTTCTTACCCCCTTCGTTGCCAACACCCTTTTGAGTCCCTTATGTATCCTTTATGTGACAAAGTCCTGTCGCTGAGGAGAGGCAATGGAGGTTCCGGAAGCCCCAGCATGAATCATGAATCCTCATGAATCGACGGAGTGCTCCTTTGGAATGCTCAACAGTCAAGCGCGCTATGACAAAACCTGTCCACATGCTAAAGCGTAACGTGAGCACTCGAGGTAAATTCGGTGTTTCCTTTTTTGGGGGGGGCCGGGCATCCATGGTTCAGGAGACCCTTGCTCGTGTCTGTGCAAATCTGACATTTGCTTTTGGATGGTTTTGGCATTTTTTTTGACATATGCTCTTGCATGTCTGACATTTGTTGACTTGGGCGACCCCCTCAGGTCCGTGACGGAGAAGGAAAAAGAAAAGGATGGAAAGAACACCGTCCGGTCCAGCCTAGAGTCCTAGAGACCCTTACAGAGATGGGGAACGACTAGTCTGACCGGCAAGATCACCTGACTCAAAGCTATTGAGCGGCCCTCATCGTTGGTATTGTTGTGGTTCGGGGCCGTTTACGACGAATAGTCAATAACACAGCTGCAGCAGTTTGCCCACTTCTGTATTGTAAAGGCTCCCTGGGCATCTGCACATACCTGCGCAATCTAAACAAAGGATCCCTGGGCATCTTGTCGGTATTCTCTATTCTCTGATATTTTATGCAATGATGCTATTTTATGCTACCAGTGTTTGTCTCCTCCTACCGAACCAAGAAGACACCGTCCAATCTCCAACTCACGTCTCTCCGCACCTGCCGGTCATCCTTTTCGCTACCGGCTTCGGCGAGCAAGCTGGGCTCCACTGGAATCTTATGCCCATTCCATGTTTTGTTGCGCTGCATGAGCTCCGTGTCTCGACCTGAAGGACCGCCCCGGTTGGGAAGGCGGCCGTGCGTCAGGCACGGCTTAAGCTGTGTCCTATGCTCACATGTGGGGAATCAAGACCACAGTAACAAACCCTGCAAGCAATTTGCACTCAAGCGACGCGAATCATCTACTTCTGAAGTTCTCTTCTCCTTCGTGACGCCAGACTTGAAGTGGACGAAGACTTTGCTTCCTTCAGGGAGTATGTTTCAGGTAGCACCTTTGATCCAAAGCTTATGGTCATCGTCTTGAATCTTTTGTGCAAGTGTTGTACAGTTGTGATAACACACCATTAGCGAACATTGTACTTATACGCTCCCTGTTAAGAAAACATGATGGACTTGCGAACCTCCCTAGTACAGCTTGATGAATAACTCCTTGACAGTTCATTACATATTATATAAACATACAGTATGTATATATATATAACTATATGCTTATCTATACATATTGAACGTGTCTGAACAACTATGGCCTAAACTAACCGCACAATTCAACCACCACGTCACAGCCGGAACAATCATCGTTCCGATTTCTCAAGCGTTGCAAATGATCATAAGCAGCTCAACCTGCAAATGCGGATCACTTGAAAACACCGGCCTTCGTAGAGAGCACCAAAGCCCCTGTGCTTGATAATCCACCTCACCGGACTAAGATGGTGAACGAAACCAGCTTCGGGGGTAGCGGGGAAGCTCCAAGCGATGGGCCCCACTGGCGTCTCAGGTCTTGCAATGACCAAGGCAAAGCATTCACATAATATCGTGTTACTATCTAGTAGCGATGGCCTCCAACCTACTTGCGATGGCCTCCAGGACTCCACCCAATAGCATCCTGATATTGCTCAAAAAAGTGCTTTGTATGCACATCATTACTCGTTCTTTGATCTAACAAGGCGCGAGAAGCACAACATCACATGACTGCCAAGCCACCCTTCTGCACCTTTTGCAATTTTCCATGAGTCCTGGCACAGTCGAACAGCATCGTAGACTCCGCGGCACCGCATACACGTCAAATAGAGCCTAGGAAAACTCTTCAGTGCCTGCCCTCTAACGGGCCGCACCTAAACAAGCAGCATGAGATGCATTCTCTGTCCCCATCAGTCATGCTTGGTGTCTGGATGTGCCCTGTCCACATCCAAAGAACTCTTTCAGGGCAACAGGATGCCATCGCTGCTAGGTTGCAGGCCGTTGCTGTTAGGTTGAAGGCCATCGCTATTAGGTTGGAGGCCATCGCTACTAGGTTGGAGGCCGTCACTATTAGGTTGGAGGCCATCGCCATTAGGTTGGAGGCCATCGCTATTAGGTTGGAGGCCATCGCTACTAGGTTGGAGCCCGTCACTATTAGGTTGGAGGCCGTCGCTATTAGGTTGGAGGCCGTCGCTATTATAACTATTAGGTTGGAGGCCATCGCCATTAGGTTGGAGGCCATGCCGTCGCTACTAGGTTGGAGGCCGTCACGATTAGGTTGGAGGCCATCGCTATTAGGTTGGAGGCCGTCGCTATTAGGTTGGAGGCCATCGCCATTAGGTTGGAGGCCATCGCAATTGGGTTGGAGGCCATCGCTATTAGGTTGGAGGCCATCACGCTGTGTTCTGTGGACTTTGGATCTGGCAGCTCGTTCGTTGCGGCCACTGAGAGACGCCACTAAGCACTTGCGTTTCGGCATGGCATGATGACAACACGACGGTGGCATCTGGGACATCCTGGGAAACTCAACCGTACGGGGCAGCACAACATGCAGGCTGCCATGGCCGCCATGGCCTAGCTTCAGTCAATACACGTTGTCGAGTACTCACTGACTGCCAAATGCAGCCTAGCTGCTAAGTGACACACATAACCATGGCTTTAAACCGCTAAGTAGCTCCCCACCGATTGTGGGGAGTTGTGATTGTGGGGAGTTGTGATACATCTGGGGATGTCGAGAACTGCACCGCAAGAAAGCGCCCTTCCCTCCTCCTGCGTCTCAAAGCGCATCTTCACATAGACGTTATTGTCATTGCCAAGCTCATCAGGGCCAAGGTTGTAGGTGTAATCAAAGAGAAGGTCGATGACCTGAAATGGGTGGTCATATCACATGGAAATCTTCTCAACTGATGTATGGAGAACCTTTGCCTATATACAGTATATATATATACTTATGTATCTGATGTGCGGTGATATCTGCGTAGCCTTAGCTGCTTAACTGGTTCACAACTCACTTCGTGGAGCATCTGCCACCAGTCACCAGGTCTCACGGCGTGTGCCGTACCCAGTCGCGTCCGGCGCCTGTTCGACTGGAAGCCTCATCCAGTTATAGAGGTCATAGCCTGAGGCGTTCGTTCTTGCGAGGCCATCACTCGATTTCCGGCTGGGTCGTTCGACCCCACATCTGCGAGGAAACATGACTAAAATGATCGGAAGACCGATGCTGGCCCAAAGGTTTACCGTAGGGCCGAAGAAAAGGAAGTCCTCAAAAAGTCGGCAACAGCCCAACGTCACGATTTACGCTGATTGCTTCACCGCATCTTCTTGATTACAGTAACTCTCTCTGTCGTTGTCTCTTCAAGGTTTCGTGAACTAGATTTGCTCAAAGTAGCTCTTGTTGGTGAAGGAGCCACCTTTCTCATTGTTAAGTCCTGGCACATCTTCAGAAGCGGCGAACTGGCCGTACTGGCCCGTGTTGTGTCCGAC